TTCTTTATCTGGCTATGACATCGGGTACGGGAAGAGGGGAAAGGGTGCAGCAAATACAGCGCGAGTGTACTGTCAATATAATCTAATTCACACCCAACTCGGTGCGTCTGCCTTCAACTAGCTGTGAAGTACCTAGCTAACATAGTCAAAATCGACGGTGAAAATACCATCAGATAAGTTGGTATAAGATGCTGATGGCTCGGTACAGATTAGTGAAAGTATTTTGATTGCTAGTCGCGTTTGTTAAAACAATTCGGAGCAAGGTTCGAAAGACGGGGTCCTTCACTTTGACCACCCAACATCAATCTTTCCCGAAATGTATGCTAAGGATGACCGCAAATTCAACTCCTTCTGTGATGAGGATTGGTTGGCTCAGCAGAAGAGGTCAACCTCTTCAGAAGCCAGCGGATGAACTCTTGTAAAATCTTTTTCAAGAAAGCGGAAGACTTAAACACCACCACAACTGATTTTTTTTTGAATTCGTTAACTAGGGGGTGCGGAGTTAAAACGTGCTTTATTTCTGCTTTCTCATAGCCCTCTAGATGATACCAATATCTAATTCAAGGAGTAATTTTCGATCATATCCGGGTTTTGGACATCCAGTCAAATTTGAAACGTAGGATTTTGAATTATTCTTGCATTAGGACACCAACTAACTACTCGCTTAGTTTGGAAGGCCCTCTTGCACGAAGGGAATCCGATTGGGCCCTTTCTCTATTTCTCTTTACTTCGTCGTGACCCCCAAAGCTAGACTATTCTATTTAAAATTTAACGGAAGGGTGAAATAATTGCACAAAAAGACGTTGTCTCCAGCCTTAGTCAGTAAACTAAACTAAAACTAACAATACTAAAAGTAACCGCAGCACACTAAAGATTTCCGTTTGGGTAACGCAATGGAATGGTAAATGCTGAATACGTACACAAAAGCAGGCTGACTAAAAAATAATTAGGTAGCTATGTATGGTAAAGCACGATGTTACTTATAAGGAATCCTTACCAAACTTTACAATATTGAAAGCTTATGGATATGAATTATTACCGACGAGGGTGAAGCCTGGGGACAGGTCAGCGCCATGAACGCTTTTACTGATCTCGGGCAACGGATAATAGGATGCTGGCTTGAGAGTAGCGCTTTGGGGTTTCAACCAACGGAATCCAGATAGATATCTTGACTCCGTTCCTCAACCCTGCTTTGACGTAAAGCTAACTATCGACAATACCTTATTTAGAAGTGACCTAATGCTTTAACCGGCTAGCCTATTGTAAAGGGCAGCTGCGGCTGGCTATATTTTCACAGGAGAATGGAACATCGAAAAAAGACCAGACATATTTTGAGAAGCCTTCCGCGTCAGCGCTTCAACTGCGGCACACTGAAGGAAAACATAGACGTTACGGGTTGGTGGGGTATACCCTACACTTTGCGGGCAGACAACTTGAAAATACTACCGAGGATGGGATGGGGCTGATTTTAGTAAATAGAAAAGGCGAGAGCAACTGTCGGTCATCTTGCGAAAATCATTACCGATTTAAAGGGTCCTTGTATTCGATAAAACGGTTTTTGCACAGTTCATGATCATAGGTTTGCATAGCAACTGACGCAAGTCCAGATATATGAATAGAATAGGTTGTGATATCCTTTTCTGTTAACTGACTTCACCAGAAGCATTTGGCTGAAGAGCATCCGGTTAGGTTAGCCTCTGAATTGAACTTTCCTACATTGGGCTTGTTGATTTAGATTTTTGTGTTAAGCTTAATGTGGATCATTGACTAAGATGGCATGTAATCACTGAACCGACCTGACTCAGGATAATAATTGCAACAAACTACCTATTTCGCGAAAGCAAATGTGTTTAACTTGACTTTGGCTAATTTCAGCCGTTTGATTTAGGTCGCCGCCTGCTGAGCCCTTACCCTCATCCTCCTGTCCTCCTGCAACTTAAGGCTCAACAAAGTCATAATTTGTAAAAGAATCGTATATTTTTTTAAAGCGAACAGTCAAAGGCCCCTGAGACAAAATTTGGGGTGATAAATTATGCTGCATAGTCGACCTAGACTCTTGCGCGAGAATCTGCTGTTGGGTATTCCTACCTCCATTTAGTGGCATTCCGTAAGGGAGTGAATCATTGAATTCGAAAGAAACCGGTCCCGGCAGAGAGCGCATCTGGATTTTTTGATCTAAAACCACTTTTGTATGCAGCAGAAACAGCCTTCTACTTGCTTCCGATCAGTTTCAGTGTTGACGTTAACTCTTGTCCAAAGGTTTTCCGCCATCTTACCATGTCAAAAACCATTAATTGCAAGTTTGCAACATGTACACAAGTAAAAACGATTTATTTGGTGGATTTTGGAGCTAAATTAGCGGGCGCATAATCCCAGACCAATTGAACACTATTGAACAGCCTATTTTCCGGTAACGTGAACGTCAGACAGAGAAAAACAATCGCTTAAACCGTGTACTTTTTTCGAGGATTTCCGATACTCGTAAATATTCAAGCGCATTTCGCTGAATTAATGCCAAATAAGAAGTCTTTACCTCAGAGTGTAACAAGACTTGCTACTAGCTTAATATTTATATACGATCATTGGTCAGTTGACGCAAGGTTCCATATTTACCTTCCCAAGTGACCAATAAGTAAATGGAGGCGTGCACCTTTGGGTTTGCCCCCTTCTACGGGTCACTGGTTTATTACAGCCTTAAATTAGCTTAACTCACTGCCCTCCATTTCTGTCTCTCGTTTTCAGCTTCCCCTATTACCGAGAAAACAAACAGGGTTGGCAAAATTCCATTCGCCACAACCTCAGCCTGAATGACTGCTTTGTCAAAATACCTCGCGATGAGAAGCGACCGGGTAAGGGCGCCTTTTGGACCCTCCACCCGGCTGCTCATGACATGTTCGAGAATGGTTCCTTCTTGCGACGCAAACGACGCTTCAAGTCGTCCAGTCCCAATGCACACGCTGGGCGAAAACGGACCGTTAGGCAGGCGGGTCTAGAGGCCGCTGACAAGCCTCCTGCGTCAGCCAATGAATTTGGCGGCGGGGGGGAGGGGGAAAGCGTTGGAGTCGGCGAGGCGTGCACACCAATTCTGCCCGATCTGTCCATTTTCGGGACATTGGGAGCTGCGG